GTTCATGGTCATGAAGCGCAGCACCACGAGATTGAGGAAGGCGCCAATGACCGTGAGGCCTGTGAGGATGTAGACGAAGCTGAAGGCCACGTACTGCGGCTGCGTCTGCAGCGCCTGGTCCTTCTGCAGCGCCACGTAGTCGCCGAAGCCGATAGTGGTGAGCGTGATGAAGCAGTAGTAGTAGGCCTGGAAGAAAGTCCAGTGCTCGTAGTAGGAGAAGGCGGCGGCGCCGATGCACAGCGTGCTGATGCACGAGAAGAAGCCGATGAGCACCATGTTGGCCATGGACACGTCGGCGCGCCGCATGCCCAGCCCTCTCTTGGCGCGGTGCAGCAGGTACTTCACGAAGGTGTTGATGCGCTCGCCCAGGCTCTGGAACATGACCAGCGTGAGCGGGATGCCCAGCAGTGCATAGAACATGCAGAACACCTTGCCACCATCGGTGCTGGGCGCTGCGTGGCCGTACCCTGGGGGAAAACGGGGGAAGAGGCAAGAAAGCACACGCTATGGGGCTGCCTTTCTAGAAACCTGCCTCCCTTCCCCTTCTCTCCCCTCTCCGCCCCGACCTGGCGGAATCTGGCTCTCTTTCCTTTGCCCGAAGGTGGAGCCCACACACAGATATGGGCACATCCTTGTCCCCAGGCACTGTGCTAGTTCCTTGCTGTTGATTTCTTATTTATTCTCGTGACCATTCCATGGGGTAGGTAGGAAGGAAAGAGGAAACAGGGAGGGTTAAGTGACTTTTCCAAGGTCAGACTGTTTGGAAGCAGAGCAACCTACATTTGAATTAGAGTCTGTTTGGCTTCAAAGACCCCACCGTTTTCTATACCCAGAGAAGGAGCTGACTCATGCTGCCGCTGGGAACTTCATCCTGAGGCAGCATGGATCAGGTGAGGGGTACTGGCAAGTACTCAGTTGGGAGACCTGGGTTCTACTTCAGTGTCTGTGGCCTTTGGACCTGTTACTTGTCCTCTCTGGGCCTCAGCCTCTTTGACTATAAGAGGTGGAAGTTGGGCTGAATGAGTCCTGACGTCCTGTGATTCAGTGTGAAGGGAGGGAAACTGGGGCATTTCCTGATGACTTTCTTTCTGCCAGCCAAAACTTATGGGTTTAGTTGGCAACTGGGGCCTTCCAGCCTCCCAGAGGCAGCTGGCCCACTAGTGTCAGAAGAGGAGAAAGGAGACAGTGTCCCATACCCCTCCATTAATCAGTGCTCTAGGGTCCTCATTAGACCCAGTCTGGAGCCTTGGGGTCATCCTCTGTGCCTGGCCCCAAAGTAGGGTCTGTCCTTATGACATTGCCTTTGTCAAAGCAGGAGCCCTGGGTGTCCTTCCATGTGTTACTGTCACCAGTCAGACAACCTCAACTCCTATCATACCCCACCCTGCCCTTCAGCCCTCACTCAGCCAGGAGCCAGGCAGGGGCAAAGCCTTCCTCTGAGCCAACCATCAAATGGTCTAAGTCCAAAGTTCTACTTGGAGACCTGGAGGGGAAAGGACCCGTGAGGAGAACTCAGAAGCCCTAGGCGCAAGTTCTGGCCCAGTCACTAGTGGCTGTGTGACCTGGGGCAAATTACTCCCCCTCTCTGAGCATGTTTCCTCATTTGTAAAATGACATCTACTGGTTTTGGCCCTGCTTCCTTCACTGGGCTGTTAAGATATTTATCACTTTTATTAACAGGATTATTATAATAAAATAGTGCTGACAGGCTTTCCATTTTCCCCTCTGGTCTAAGCCTTATCAAAATGTAACCAAATGCTTCTTCTTCCATGCAGCCACCCTGGATTGCTCACAGCTGGAAGTGATCCCTGCTTGGAGTGGCGCTGAGCATGGTCAGCTTTGAAGTCCTGGGCCATGATTACCATCCCCTGCTCTGTCCCTCAGGGCCCTCAACTATGTATGTACAACTAAACACTAGCTTGGGATGGGAGGTTGGGCACTGCTGGATGTTGTCATATTCTTCCCTAGTGTCCGCCTCCACATTGTCAGCCATGCCCATGGGGTATGTCCAGAATATGTTTGATGAGTTGATGGCAAGGCAGGATACTGACTGTTTTGATGTCTGATCAAATCCTGATTCTGCCATGGACTGTGTGTTTCTTTTTAAACCTCTCTGAGTCTCAGTTTCCACGTCTATAAAATGGGCTAATAAGTAGAACCTGCATTACAGGGCTTTGGAAAAGAAATAAGTGAGATAATGTGTATAATACACTTAGCCTAGAGCCTGGTACGTATCAAGTGCTCAATAACAGCTCACTATGGTTAGTAATGAATGAAGTGCCAAATTTCCCTCACATTTCCAAGAGATCCCCTGGGCTGGGAGATAGCTCAGTTCCAGTAAAGTTGGCATCTCTGTTAGCCCAAGGCCATGTGAATCTTAACACACAGGGAGGTCTGGGGACTGCTGCCTAGGGTGTGTGAGGCTGTGGACTGCCCTGAGAATGGGCTCCCCTGTCCCCTCACTGTGGCATCTAGCTGGTGACTGTGTCACCCTTTGCTAGGGGTGGGGATAGCTGAGCTCTTGAGCCGCTGTGCCTGGCCCGTCTGCACCCCAGCAGGGTGAGAACAGATTGTGCCTGCCAGCTTGGCCAAGGCAGCCAGACCACAACTCACCTCGACAGCTGGGCAGGCTCCGAGCCAGAGCAGTTTCTCGTCCTGTCCTTCCCGGTCCCTCGGGTCGGTACCACGTGGGGTGTGGGGGAGGGCAGGGCACTGTGGCCGGGGCTGGACAGGGATTGGGAGGTATGGACCAGTCCCAGCTTGACCGCTTGCTGGCTGTGTGACCTTGGGCTGATCCACTCCCCTCTCTGGACCTCTCTTGTCTGGTCTGCACTCTAGGGGATTGAGCTACAGCTGTTAAGCCCCACCCTGGCTGCCGCTGCCAGAGCTGCCGTCAGGAGTAAAAGAAAAACTGGAGACAAAAGTCCTTTAGAACCTGTGGAGTTGGTGACAGAAGTAGCAGTGATGGGATCTCACGGGGGATAGTCGGCCTGAGGGTGCAGTCCTGAGGGCAGGGCAGTCTTTGTGGGGTCTGGCAGCCGTATCCCATGGTCAGGGAAACGGATAGCCTCTCACAACCACTGCCGCCTTGCCCTGGGTTTCTTCTTAGGCTGTGACTGCTCCTGATCCACTATCCTTTAGGAAAACCCAGTGCCTGCCTGCCTGGCAGCCTCACTGCCCCCTGCAGGCTGCCCACAAGCCCCCCAGCTTCAGGAAGGCCCTCCCTGATCTGAATACAGCCCGAGTCCCACCAGACGTGCCGGCCCCTTCTTCCCCTAGTGCCATCCTCGTGCTGTGCTCCTCCCTGTCTCTGTCCAGATACTGAGTGCCCACTTACTTTCTCTGTCCCCCAGCCAGAAGTGGCAGCTCTTTTCTCTGCCTACCTCCTGTTGAATTTAGTGATTTTTCAAAGCAAATGGCCCATCCAGGCTTAACCAAATGCTCTTAGGCTGCAGCCTCCTGCCCTGTTATAGCCACCCTGGACATGCCTCACCCTTCTGGTCAGATGCCCCCTCGGGGCCCACGTTCACTTCTTTACCACAGGCTGAAGCTTAAGGTCTTATCCTTCAGATACATTCTTAACTTTAATGCTCAAAAATTTCCTGCAAGGCCATTATTATGACTATCTCCGTTTTATAGTTGGAGCAGTGAAGGCTGGAGAAGCGCGTGAGTTGGCCAAGGCCACTGGGACTTTCTGACTCATCGCTCATTCTGATGCTTCAGAGCCAATTTAGCTCCAAGGAAGGGCAACCAGGATGGGAAACTGAGGCCCGAGGGGAGAGCATTCCACCTGGAGCCTGGTCCTTGGGCACTGCCCTGAGCTGGAGGTGGCACAAGTGGCGACAGGGATGTGATGCCCAGGGAATCAGATGCTACTCCTAGCTTCAGGCCTGGGGTCAGCCTGCCCTCCCCGCCTCGCCTGCTCTATTGTCACTGGGTGAAAGGGCAAGGGAGGACCTGCTGACGTGGGCGCCCAGTTTGGAGGGGCGCCAGCTGGGGTGGAGCCACTCCCAGGGGGCCCAGGAACTTCTGGGAAGCAGCTGGGCGTTTGGCAAGGCCTGTCTGCCTGCCAGTAGGCCTGCTGCCTGCCGGGTGCTTGCCCACATCAGGCTTGGGCTTACGAGGGAGAGAGGGCCAAAGGGAGTCCCCCATCCTCTCCTTCCCACCCAGCCTCTGGGTGAGGGGCTCCCTCTGTCCTTGTGTGTCCCTGACACACACACAGGCTGGGCTCTGGAACTGATTCTCTGAGGACCCTCCCTCACAGTACCTGATGGACTGAGCAGCCAAAACTCATGCCCCAACCATGAGACTCTCGCCCTGCCTTTCAGAGTACTGACAGGGGCTATTCTCAGCCCCTCCTCCCAGCTACCTTCCCGAATCCACCACAGACTTAAAGATTCTCAGAGCCAGAAAGGTCCTTAGTGATCATATGGCCCAGTCCTTATATTATACAGATGAGGTACTGGAGGCCCAGAGAGGGAGGGGGACCTGCTCAAGGTTGCGCAGCTAGTGAACAGCACAGCCAGGGCTATAACCCAGGATATGCCATCCCAGACTCAGTGCTCTGTCCTCTGCCCTCTGGCTCAGCACAGCCAAGGTTGACCTGTTCATGTAACCAGAGCCCAGCAGCCCCTGATTGGGACCAACTCAGCTGAGATGACCCTGAGACCTGGCTGGCGCCTAGAATTTATCTGAGGATGCCAGGTGGCTGTACATAAAAATTATGTGACTGGATGTAAATATGAATTATGAATATTTTGGGACAGCTGGAAAAATTAGAAGTGGAATGGGAACCTCTGGCCTCAGTTCTTCTGTTTTCCTCCCAGATCACCAAGGTGCTGAGAAACTGGCTGAAGCTCTGTCTTCCAGGGAGATGCAGAGGATTGGGGGGAGTCTGGCCTTCCCTCTTATTGGATTTTCTCTCTCTGTGGCTGGCCTAGTTTCTTCTAGTCAAAGAACAAATAACCAGTCTGAGCCCTTGGTAATGGCCTTGGCTGAATTGGGCTCAGCTGTTGGCTCCCCATTGACCTCACATGCCTGCCAGCTTGAGTTCGTGACCTCCCACCCCTGGCCCAGCTGGCCACAAAGCTAGAATGCTGGCCACAGCCTTAGGTGGAGGAAAGAGCATGGGGCTAGGAGGCAGGAGATCTAGGGGTCTGACCTGGCCCTGACTGTAACCAGCTTTGTGCCTTGGGCAAGTCCTTTTCCCTCCCTGGGCCTCAGTTTCCCTCATCTGTGACATGGGAGGATAGGGCAAGATAAAGTATCCTACCTTTTTTTCCCTGCTTTAGATGCCTTCTAGTTTTTTCTGTTCACCCACCCATTCATAGTCTAAGTTTGGAAAGATTTTATACATGGAGTACAATGTGTTGATCAGTGTGGTGTAGCTACTACTAGAACAGGCACTGAAGAGATTATTGTGAAAAAAATATTTTCCCATCAAAATTAATTAGGAACACATCTGCTG